TTCACTAATAAGAACAAATATTTGAAATAATCATTTAATATATTGATGAAAATGTGTACTTTTTCATCAATATTAATGAATTATTCACTTAAACTCATATGTAACTCTTCTTATTATGTTGTTGGTCACCTAGCACAACAAAAGATGAAAAACTCCTCACAATGTGATTGACTGCAGCCAAGTGGTCCGACAGGCTGAAAAATAAAAGACACAGTTAGCGCCGTGACTGAGTGGTCAGCCACGAACACCAACCGGCGCAGCTCCCACTCATAGGGTCACATTTTTCCAGCCCAACCACAAGAAAACTTTACAAATTATATTTATAAATGTACCTTGTTAATAGTTGAACTAGAAAAATATGACCCTAAGTAAAAAAAAGAAGTGAAGAGCTGCCTCTCTCGCACCTACCTCCACCAGCGCTCCTCAGAATTCTGTTGAAGGAAGCCGCGAGAGTGCCTGACGGACCCGTTGCATGCAGTCACTCATCACACCACTAGGTGGCTCCAAACAAACGCATTGATCAAAAATACATACAACCATCACTATAATCATTTCGATCAAAACTCACACAGACACACGAGCTCTTCTCTCTGTTACACATATCAGCCTCTAACACTTTAAGACACGTGTTGAACTCAAGGCCCACCATAACTTTTCATAGCCACAAAAACAGAATCATCAAGATAACAGTTGTCAGCTTAAGTTGTTAAATAAAATGTGTTTTTATTGATATGTTGTTAAATCACATTTGATGGCAACATCACAGCACATCTGATGAGTACTCACTGAATGCAAATATTTTAACTTTTTTTAAATGTAGTTTTGTCAAAAGATTCTGCCACAACCGACCGTTTGAGGATATTTCAATTCTTGATGTGGCCCGAAATAAAAATAAGTTTGACACACTTGGTGTAACGAAACCAGAAAAAAGACAAAATCTCAACCGCTAAAATCTCACAGCCCTCCATTTTTGTTTTGTGTAGAAGCAAGTTTCGCTCATGTCTTCTTCTGAGGGTTTTGTGTCGCTCCCGTTAGTGGTTTTCTTGGAGCAACGCCACCAACAGGCGACTGGAGGGAACACGTTTTTCAAAGAGTTTGCTGAAAACTCCCCTAAATGTCCGCAGATCATTTTATTTCCCTGATCCGTCCCCACATTGACATTTTAAAGGTGATCAACCGATCATTTACAACAAAATACTACCCCAAAACTTTACATACGTAAAAGCCATCCATATATTTAACTATAAGGTGTTATTTGGATTAGCTCAATGCGAAAGCTACACCGGAAAACATCTGAAGGTGGTTTAACTTGAAATGCTGCCTTGAAAATGCAGTTTAAGTCAACAAAAAATATTCTAGTTTTAACTCAGAAATTTAAGTTCATGAAGTTAATTTAACAACAAGATAATAAAATAATTATTTCACAATATGCAAGGAAAACTGCCCTCACTTAGTTAAAGTTAAAATAAATACTTATTTTACTTTAGAATAATTTAAATTCTTGTTTCAAATTGCATAAATACAATTTTTGAAACATCACAATGAATTCTGCTCAAAAACATTTAGTGTGAACTGGACATAATCCTCAAGTTTTGCAAACTGTCACTTGCATTAAAATAAACATTTGCCTTAATGACACACAAGAGTCAGATAAATGTAACTCACTTCCATGCCGCTAAGCATTCTGGGAAATAGTTCCCACTTCTGTCTTTTTCTTCTTTCAGTTTTTTTTAAGTGTTAACATAAAAACTCACACACTTAAAACCTAAAACTCGCTAAATATATTCAATTTACAGAGAAGAAGATAACAGACACAACTCAATGTGGCTCAAATGTCTCACAGTGTACTGAGAATGTCTTTGCCAAATCTAACTACTATTCATCTGGTCCACACTCCCCAAGGTGCAGCTTCAGCACACCTTGGTTGTGCAACTGCAACAACAACTTGAACTCATCAGACATGGCATGGAAACCTTTCTTCAGTTTTCCGTCATCATAATAATGGTGAGTCAGGTACTGGAAGCTTTGTGGGTGAACACCGAAAGGCCAGAATCCATACAGATCCACGTTGTCACACAGCTCCAGTGCCAGGCTTGTCATCATAATGCCAGTGGTGAGACGTCTTGCCTTCAATCCTAGAGAGCCCCAAAAAAGAGCAAGACTTTGAAGGTACTTTGGGTTGATGAAGACAGGCTGCATGGGGATCCTAAAGTCATCGATGGTGTAGGACGCCCGTAGAGACGTAGCTGTGTTAATACGATAGGAGAAGGCAGGAAGCAGCAGCATGGCTTTGCCATATTGGCACAGACTCTCTGCAAACATACGTCTGTGTTCTAAAAGAGAGCCATACCTGCAATAGTAGGACATCTGTGAGAAAAATAGCTTGAGGAAATATTGCCTAAGGGTAAGAAAGATTGATTTGCTTTTTACTTTTGCGTGAATATACTTGGGTTTGCAGTCACAACATCTGTTTTCATGCCAACATCGTTCTCATATCCGTTTGACAAAGGAGGCAAGTTACACCTAAAACAACAGAATAAACAATTTCTGTCACAATAATTTAAATTTCTTGCTTTTCTGTGCTTGAAAAGATTCTCACCTGATAACAAACTGAGCTGAATCGATCGTTTTTCCACAGCTGCTGTTTGTCAGAATCCCACCGTTTCCAACAACAGCACACGTCTTCTTTCTTTTATTTGAGAAAGGATGCCCCTGCAGTTATTAATCCAACAATAAAATAAAAGCAAACCGTTTGTAAGTTTCCCCTTCTCAGAAAGAAGGGTGAGATTAAGAGTCCTGATGTGTGCTCTTGAATTATGGCAGAGAAATCCCTCCATAGTATTTCAACTTCCCAAGATGCATTTGTTTTCTTTAGAATATTTTAGATAAACTTTAAAGTGAATAGCGGAATTTTCTG